CGAGGACGGGTTAACACTGGAAAGGCTTTGGGAAGCTGCTGAGAAGGCAAAGGGCCAAGCTTGAGTTTTCCTCCACTATGCATACTGAGAAATATTGGCAAAACTAGAATACTCTGGAAATTGTCTCGATGGGGAAATTGTTTTCTAGAGTTAAATGTGTTTCATGTATGATTAATGACTGTATTTTCCTTTGACAGTTCTACTTAGTGACCTATAATTGGTAACACTTTGGGGAAATTTCAAATCACCTTTGTAAGCTGATACGTTGCTCTTTCCATCCATCTTCATGCCTACTTCCTTGCTATAATACCTTTTCTGTAAATCACAGTTTGCTTCCTACTAATGAACCATGATACTCTCCTGTGGTATACCCGTGTTAAATGTACCAAGCTCCAAGAGCATACTTCATTAATGGAAGCGTAAGTTTCTCTTTTTAGCTTTTATCATCGAATCAATTGTAAGTATTGTTTCCCGTTGCGTTAGCATGGGCATTATACTAGTATACATATATATATATATATATATATATATATATATATATATATATATATATATATATATATATATATAACTCGATAGGAATTATTCACACGCAGAGCAGGCAACAAATTCATGACATGAACAGAACCGTGGGTGCCATGTCACAGCACAGCACAGCACGTGCACGTGCAATGAACTTCAGAATTAAAGAAAAAGGACATTTGAGTACAAAGACCCTTTTGGCAGGGTTTAAAGCAGTTTGAACCTTCACCTGCACTGTATTTATATAACTGTTTATTTATGTGGTTCTTGTTTTATGTACATAGTACGTACACCTCAAATAAATTAAACTACAGGTCCATAAAGCTAGTAATTTAATTTTGTTTCGCTTCACCGACTTTTAACTTGTCGTGAGTCGTGATACTGTTGCAATAGCATGAATCCATGTAATTTGAAACCCAATGAAATTAAGAGGGCCAAAGTGAAATTTAGATCCACAGGCAGGCAGCGCATATACGTGTACTGTATGCGATAACCGTAGCAGTGACGGGAGCGCAACTGCAAACGATACTGTACAGTACATGGGATGGGAGTGGCCCCACGTAGGAGTCATCGCAGCCATCGGAGGACGGTTGCTGGCCCCGCCGTCGCTTCTCGCGGACGTTACGTTACGTTTGGCGCCGCTTGGCAACTGGAATTCTGGGGCATGTGGATCGCCTGGCAGGAAGGGGAAGGAATGATGATCCCCTGCACGGCTCCACGGCTGCACCCCCAACAACCGCTCCTGTCAGTTGTGCATGCTGCTGCAGCATGGGGCGATCTACGATCATTAGCTCCAGCGAATCACTCGTCTCTCGCACATTATCTGCATCGTTTGATCCGATCCGAATTTCTTCAGATCCCAGTGACGACGCACTGTACCAGAGGGGTACGGTGTGTATATATATATATATCCCTATGCCACCTCACCTTATGATGAAATCTTAGAAACGGGGAGGCCCTGCCCCTGGCTACCATGAGTCCATGATGGCCCCGTTCGAGTGCCCTTAAACTTGGCTTGATCCGTTTATTTTTTTATCCGGAACAGTGTTTTTCTCTTACAAATTTCTCTAGAATTCCTCCAAACCATCTAAATTGCAGCCGAACACCCTGGCTGCCTGTGGCCCCTGCTCCTCGCTTGTTTCAGTTTTGGCTGGGGCTGTCCTCCTACCTCTGCTGTCTGCGCACCACGCGCGTGATCCACATGGACCAAGGATGTCCTCCCAATGGCATTGGATCCGGTGGTAATGGGCGTTACATATACTCCCTTCGTCATATGTCGTTTTGTTTTCTAGGAAGCCAAATACTTTTAATTTTGACTAAATATTTACAAAAAATATTAATATTTATAAGACATAATTAGTATCGTTAGATAGATCATTAAATCTATTTTTAAAATAAACTTATTTAAAAATACAAATATTGCTAATATTTTCTAGAAAACAAATCAAACTTAAGAAAGTTTGATCGGCGTGAATACCATGGGGCCACACTTATTTTGTGACAGATGTACGGGAATGACAAAAGGGTAACCCTCTATAAACCTGAGCAAGTACCGTAACATCCCCCTAGCCGTATTTGGGAGCCTAGTATTTGCCTGAAACCACTATAAATTGCACGCCTAAAAAATTTCTCGCCCAACAAAAAAAATGTTGCTTGGAACGAAGCTTGGTGGGCCAACTATTTTACATATGCTTTAGGACAAAACCGACGAGGAAGGCCAACAAGGTGGCCGCGCCAATCTTCCCACACGGCGACCATTAGTGCCCACGCAGGTGGAAGAAAGAAGAAAGAGATGGAGGAAGAAGGTGTCGACAGCTGGGGCCCACTGCCAGTGACCAGCAGAGAGAGAGGTGTGGGGTAAAACAGACTTTTAACGTGCCTCTCTGTTCGGAACAAGCCAGGATCTACGGTGTCGTGGTGACGTGGTGTGCCATGTCAACAACAAATGGCAAAAACATAGGCTAGTTCTTGTTTTCCGTGGCAAATGTGTAGTTGCCATGATAAAACTGGCGAACGGAGTGGTGACCTAGATATCAGTAGCAAAATAGTTAAAAATCCCTGCGAAAAAAATGAAATGCTGGATGAAACTAGGTGATTGAATCAAGTACGGCTGGTGTCCATAAAACTGAATCAAGCTGGTGTCTCAGAATCCTACTCATGATGCGGCAATTCCTTTTTTTCTTCCCAATGATGGTTGATGGATAGAGATAGAGCATTAGCAGAATTAGCTTTATTACTACATCTCCTATAACTAAAAAAAATAAAAGTAAGACTATTTTTTCGTGCGACTTTTTTTGGGTCGCTCTTCCCTCCCGTCCATGCGACAATCACTCCGTCGGTCCACACCTCCCTTGCGATACCGCGCATAGGCAAACATGATGTATATACTATGGTCCCTCCTCTCTCTCTCTCTCTCTCTCTCTCTCTCTCTCTCTCTCCCCCCATCGGTCTCTCCCTCTCCATCCCGACGCAAGCAGGGGCGACGGGCGCGGCGGCTGCCCTCCTCCTCCTCCTCCACCCTCCCTCGCCTGCCTCTCACCTCCGCTTTCTCCCTCCCTTCTCTCTCTCCCTTCCCTCCAGATGTTACTACAGCGAAGCGAGGCGGCAGTGTAAAAGCGGCGACGGCCTGCAGAAGCGAGCTGTGCCTTGCAGGAGGGGCTCGATGGCCCCCTCCCTCTCCCCCATCCTCCGTGCAGCCACCTCAACGCCTCCTCCCACTGGGGAGCTTGTGCTCCTTTGCTCGACGAAACCCTAGGTGCCTGTGCGGCGGCGGCAGCGGCGGTGAAGCTCGGCGATTGGATTTGACGGTGACTCACCCTCTTCTTCTCCTCCTTCGTCCCATGGCTCCTCCCCCAGATCCTCTCTCCCTTGCGTTTTTTTGGAGCGGCAGATCCTCACAATAATTTTTATGGCAATTGAGAACAGTAGATTATAAAGCTTTTGTTGATTTTATCCCCTTTAATATTTTATTTTCTATTACTTGAATTAAAATCTGCTGGTTTATTCAAAATAATACCTCTAGGTTAGTAAAAATGGTTACATGTACAATCTTGATATATTACTGTGCATTGATTTGTCATCTCCTCGTAATGGATTGTGTCCATTCATTGAAAGAGCAGGAAGGCCAGTGACATTTTTATGCCATTTTTTTCCTTGTGTGATTTACGATACTGATTGGTTAGTGCATATGTCCATGTCCTCCTTCCAGAGATTCTGTTTAATGAAACCAATGAGTTTCGTAAAGAATGATGCTCTATTTTTAATGTCATGCCGCTTTTATCTCTATCTACACCGATGGACTCCATTTTCTTTGTTTCTGATGTGCATACCATTTTTGATCTAGACATTTTTACTAAGTGTAGTTACCTAATACTTTAGTTTTGAAACCAATTTTATTTTTCATAATAGGGGGGGGTTTGCTACGTACAAAGAATTTATATGGCAAGAGTTTGATTTCCAATCGTGCAGTTTCTTATTTAACAAACTCGACATTGGAAACCTGATGGTGATTGAATCTCGGGACCATAGGAATTGGAAAATCATTCATGTCTAACTCTGATTAGTTTCACTTTAGAAGTGTGAGGAAGTTGCCTTAAGCTTCCTTGAAAAACAAAAACATTTTAAGAATTTACCATGTTTCGAACATTTTGTTAGTCCAAAGCAATCTCATCCTCGGATGGGTTTTCTTTAATGATCTAGAGAGAACAAACAAATTAGTGCTGCACATGTAGGACAGCAACAACCATTCTTCATGAACCCTTTGTTTCTGTAATTTCGTTTTGAATGAAACTGTTGAACTTGCCTAAGTACAATCACCTGAATTTGCAATTTGATATTTTGGAGCCATTTGGTGCATAAGTAGAATTTCTATAGCATACAGTCTTCTTCCTCATGTCTGAATTTTGAGTTGTAAGCAAATGTGAAATACATAGTTGAAGTGAACTCACTGACTACTAATTACTCAAATACAGTGAATTAGAATGCTTGTCACATTCTCTAATCATGTCTGCTTTTTTTTCTTGGAGTTCTACACATACAAGCAACACTTGAGTAATTATTAGTGTGTTACTGTACTGATAAGTTTCATGCACAAGTGCCGGCTGGCATGCAGCACCGGCAATTAGATCACTCATATAAATGTTGTCACATATGCACACTTGGTTCGATGTTTGAGAATACTGGGATAAAAATTTTGGCAATTCAGTATTTGGACCATAAATTCAGAGTAATACTCTTGTTGTCCAGCTGGTGTTAACCGGATTGACCTCTTCACATTCACATTACGTGCACCAAGTACTTGTGTCAATTATATGCAACTGCACCATAAGTGTTGAGATCATGAGCATTTTAGATTTTAAATTCCTTGCCTGCAAGCAGTGTCATGAATTCTGAGACTTATTCTTGCACATGCTGAATTGTATCACATACCTATTCCTTTGTTGATCTCCATATTTTTGGTTCTTGGCAGTGTTGCTGTCATGACGAAGGCATACCCAAGTATTGAAAGGAATGATCTGATTTTGCTCCAGGAGATTGCCAGCTACATGCTTCTTGCATGTGGAGCTGTCTATGTGATCTCGGTAAGAGAGAATTTTGGATGTTCATGTGTTGAAAGACTGTAACTGCATTAATAGTTCCGAAATTTTGGACACCACACTGTAAAATGGCTAAGCACTAAAGCTCTTAGGACATTGCTGCCTTTATAATTTTGAAATTTTCAGTCATTTTTGTTGGGAAAAAGTAGTACAGGTACTACCCAACCTTATTTCATAGGCTGCATAGCATTATGAACCAGTTGAATGCTTGTAGCACAGAATGACAAATTTCATACAAACACTCCCCGAAATATTATCATGATTATTCATGAAGTCCCTACCAGCTGTGTCTATCATAGGTTCATCATACCACAGTATGATCTTATAATGTGTGATGAAACAAATGGTCAACATTGACTTCTTTTATTGCATCTTAACAAATGTAGTTAACTGAAAAACTTTGAATATATGTAGGGGATATTGTGCATTGGTGTGCTAAAACGTTCAAGGCAGCAGAAAGTGACATCACGGGAGCAAGCAGCCAAGGATCTGCAGGTAAGTACTTGATTCTTTTAAATCTGACAGCATGGAATCCAGTGATTGGATATTTCTTTGTTTTGACCCATTGTCTTTCGGTCTGTAAGACACCCTTTCTGCAGTTTATGCCCAAATTTACTTAGTGTGGCTTAGTTTGATCTTCAGTATTTCAGTTACTCCACTTTCAGTGACTGTGATAAGATTATTCTTTTCCTGAACCTCCTTGTTTTGCTTCCCATGGATAGTTCAGGAGAATCTATAGCTGTAGCTGAAAACCAAGTGTAGCCCGTTAGAAATATAAAAAACCTGTTTTATATAAAGATGGTGCCCCCTTTTCCCCCTCAAAGTAGCTGATCGCCCGTTTTGCGGTGTTTTACTAGAATACTATGTTATAATTATCCCAAGCCATATGATATCAAGTAAAATATGTGTTCACGAGAGAATTGCATCTGAGAATTTTCTAAAAGAATGTATACGCAGCCTCAGCCTGCAAAAAGGAAAATGAGGCTATATACGACTATTCTTTGTTGATCATAGCCAGGCAACTGTCTATTGGATAGTGTATTGCCAAGATCGCTCCACTTAGTTTTGAAGTTAAGGGTACAACCTAAATGGTACAAGCATAAGTTTTGTTCTGTACACCATCACTGTCAGCTCATCTTTCCTCATTTCCTCATTCTGTATGGTGTTTCTTTTTTCTTTTTTTATGCCTGAATACTTATCTTTATGGTGTTTCAGGAGCTGGAGAAACGAAGAGAATAACTTGAGGAGTTGTTACATGCTGAGCGGTGGAAGTTGGTCTGAACTCTGAAGGCTGACCACAGTGATGTAAAAGTTTATCTTCCAGTGTAGATAAATATTTTTTTCTCCTGATGATAGCATACTGCTTGGTCCCGGCCACGAGTCATTCATCAGAAGTCACGTCGTTGAAGCGTATTTTCTTTAGTTCCTCTGTAAGTATGGATCATTTCTTATGTTTGTATCGAAACAGATTCGAAACTTATTATCTCTATTCTATATTGCAGTTGCATGTGCCTCATATTTGACACTTTGCATTATACTGATATCTATCTTTTTTTTATTACAGATACAGGATCACAGATGTTTCTGTTGTTAATTAACGTCATGCTTTTAAAGGACAGGCCTTGTAGCTATCCTCATGGTTTCAGCTGAATTGTGGGCTTTTGGTTTCAGAGCATTGTATTGATTCATCGTCTGGGAATATGTTGTTTTTCAGTTAAATTACGGCATGAGTTTGATGTAGCATGCCGACCTGCCGTCTAAGCCTGTCTTGTATGTATTGCTGAATAATTCACCTGAATTTTACCCTTAATATCTGTTTTGACACTGTAGTAATTCACTCCTTGCGCTATAAGCCTGTCTTGTAATACCTGTTTTACTGTATATTATTTTCCCCAATTATTACTGGGTGGTAACATTATTCTCATTTTCTTTTAGAGGAACCTGTTCTCGTATAATTCTTATCTAAACCAATTTTGATGGCAACCATCCGGACCCTGTGAACTTGATCCAACGGCACATGATCTCAGCCCGCAGCTAGGCGAGGTGTGGCCTACGCAGCGGACAGAGAAGGCGACGTGCGGCGCACATGGTTGAGGCGCGGCGGCACTAGCTGATGTGCCACGGAGGTGACGGGGACAGCGACACGCGTGTGGCGGAGCTGACCCGCAACGCAATGACCTAAGGCAATGCGAACGCCAACACCAATAGCCCCCATGTCGTGCGGAAAGGTCTATACAGTTTGTGAGTTTGCGACGCCGTGCTGTGCATGACTGTTAATTTCACGAACTTTGCTTTTTGATTAACGTGCGTATTTAATTTTACAGTATTGTTATTTTATCGTGCGATCCGTGTATTTTAGTACAAAAATTTAGTTATTCCGTAGCGACGCACGGGCTTGCTTTATATTTATATACGAATGCATCAATTCAATTGCCATCTCAATATATAGGGGCGGACCTGGGCCTAAGCCCCGGTAGTTGGCCCAATAACCTTACATACCCACTGTAATTTTTAGCCCAATAGTGTAGGCCCAACGCCAAAACCTAGTGTCAAAAAAAGAAAAAAAAAGCTCACTCGTTGGCCCAATAAGCTTATATGCCCACTGTAATTTTTAGCCCAATAGTGGAGGCCCAACGCCAAAACCTAGTGTCAAAAAAAGAAAGAAAAAAAAAGCTCACACCGACCGTCTCTGTCCGTCCCCCTGCTGACGGACGCCGCACGAGCACGCGGCCGCACGCCCCGCAGTCCCGCACGGGAGGAGGCGAGGAGATGGCTGTGGGCGCCACCCCGCCGGCCGCCGCTGCGCCGCACGCCGCCGGAGCCGCCCATCCCGCCGCCGCACCGCCTGCCGGCCTCTCTGGCTCCCTCCCCAGTCCGCGTCCGCGGCTTCCGCAGGTACCGCGCCGGCCGCCGGCCTATCTCCGTAGGGGATCCCACTGTCAATATATGTTATATATATATATCTGAATTAGCTGACTCTTGTATGGATGTGTGAAAAGAAGGCAAGGTTCTGGAGAGATGTTTGGATGGGGCAGTGTCCTCTAAGCATTGTTTCCAATAGAATTTTTAGCATTTGCAATGAGCAGGAGAATACAGTTCATGAAGTTTTTCAAAATAATGGTATTAATCTCACTTTTAGAAGATCTTTTGGTATAGAAGAGGCAGAGGAGTGGCAGCAACTAGTTTTGCAAGTCAGAGATTTCCAGTTACAAGAAGGAGCTGATACTGTCATATGGGCTTTGGAGAAGAATGGTAAATTTACTACTGCTTCTTTATATATAGAGTTGACTTTCCCTGGTGTTGAAAATAAGGAGGTGATGAGTATATGGAGAGCTAGACTACCACTGAAGATAAAGTTCTTTCTTTGGTCCATTTTTTCAGACTGTCTCCCTTCAGCAGAACAGCTGGTTAGATGGAATTGGCCGGGAGATGAGCATTGCAAAGTGTGCGGGCAGATTGAGACGACTCAACACATTTTCTTTGTGTGTTTTATAGCAAATTATTGCTGGTGGACATATCATGATGCACTTTTTTGGTCTCTAACGCCTATAAATCTCCAGCAATTTCTCAATCTTAGTAGTGGTAGAGGGGATGTTCCTAAACCCAGGATGATTTTTCTTTTAGCTTGCATATGCTGGAGTCTTTGGTTAATTCGAAATGACTTTGTTTTCAATAATAAAATCATAACAAGTCCTGATGTTGTGGTGCACCGATCCATCATCTTTATGCAGAAGTGGAGTATCCTATTCAAGGAGAAGGAAATAAGCTGGATTTCGAAGACAGTGGAAAAGCTATCAAGACATTTGGCGCTAAACGTCCAAGATTAGTGGTGTAACACCTTAATTGTGATCGTTTTGCTATGATGTAATCTTCTTTTTTCAGTTCTGTCGAACCATCTTTTGTAGTTGTTTCTCTGAAACGGGTTCTGTTATGAGAGGAGTGCCAAGTGCACATTCAGAACTGTTGCTTGTAAGCTGGTGTTCCCAGCAAAACATATTGCTTTCTATAAAGCGGGGCCAATCGGTCTTTGGTCTAAAAAAAATGTGTGAAAAGAAGTATCTGCAGAGATATTTCAAAGTTTTTTTTTCTCTGATATGTATGTCTATTCTCTTAACCAGATAAAATTTTGCATAAAAATGTTCTTGTCTGTAACTGAATCATCACAGTGGTCATTTTTTTTTTAAGATGAGATATGATCCTGCTAGCTAGGGAAAAATGTTTCCACTGCAATCCTACAAGTTAGTTTTGAGATTATTTAATTTAGCACTCAAGGGAATTCAGTTTTAGTGCACTTCTGTCAAAGCTATATTATTTGTGCTTGTGCTTGACAATTGGATGAGGAGATCGAATCATACAGCAATGCTCCTACAGGAAGGCATGCATCAGGCTTGGTGCGATGTGATCATATTAGCATCCCTGCAATCATATTTGGGTGTCTGTGGCCTAAGTCCTATTAATGTAAGCTTGTTCTCCTGTTCTTTGTTGCAATGACAGAGCATGTCATGGGGTTGTTTTAAATCTATGTTAAATTGATTATTGTAGATTTTTAGACAACATATTTCCTATTGGTAGCACAAATAGTTGTCATATCCATAGTTGTCTTAGCTACAACTATGTTATTTCTTATTTCTTCAGTGTCCTTTGCATTAATAAATTTCTGTTCTTCAGAGTATCCTTTCTATCTTCTGTTACAATGTTCTCAAAGCCTTTTTTACAACAGTGAATTGATGGTTCTCAAGAAATAATGTATCCATGTTCATCTTACTTATGCTTGATCATAGATGCATGTGTGCATTAAACAGTTTGCAGACAGTCAAATAGACGGACCATTGTATGAGTTGTCTATTTGCTCGCCCATATATAATGTGGCAAGAACTTAGAGACAGCAACCCGTCTATGAATTGTACATGCCCTTAGGATTCTTTATCCAATACATCTCGGACAGAAAATTCTATCGCGTCTGCTTCTACCAGGTGATCTGCCGACTAGCTCCCTTCCCTACTCATGGGATGATAAGTGACCCTGGTCACCGAAACCTTCAGAGTTCAGCCTAGCCACTGACTAGCTCCTTTTCCTACTCATGGGATGATACATTGACCCTGGTCACCGAAACCTTCAGCCTAGCCACTGCGACTAGATTGTACTGGACAGTCCGCTGGCCCTCTATCAACTAAACTGAGCGAGCTTTTGGTACTTAGCTAGCCCAACCAAATAAATCTGAGTTCTTACTTGACCAAGCCGTCAGCTGCCCGGTCAAGTTGTCCCGGGCTGTGCCGAGATGGACACAAGCGCTCCTGCGATACTCCCGCAAGCACACACAACATGCTGCACGGGCCGACCGCTGACCGAGCCACGGTGCCCTCTGTTTTGCTCTGCCAAGGAACGTCATCTGCATGCCTAGCTCCTCGATTCGTTATTAGCTTGATGACATCACAATGACATCATGCCTATGCGACATACGGTCGTTTTTCCGTTTAGAAAAACAAATCTAAATATACCATCTAAATACATTAGCCGTCCATCACCTGAAACCCCTTCATCATGGACTTAGTCCACAGTGAACCGGACGCACATCCCACCGCCGATCCACGATCCATGGACCGAGTCCGCAGCATGCGCACGCACACTTTGCAATCTAGCCCCTCCACTTCTGCCAAATAAAAACTAATGTTCGCTGAGTCAGAGAGAAGAGAGAACTCATCTGCTTTCCCCAAAAATCTATAGTTAGTACCGCATAGATCCCTGCCAACAATAAACCTCCTAAAAGAATTAGTTTACTATGCGGAGATCTCATGGAAGGAGAGAGAAGGAGGCGATCGAGCGAGTAGAGAGGAGAGAACAAGGAGAGAGAAGGAGGCGATCAAGCGAGTAGAGAGGAGAGAACAACATGGGCTAGACGTAAGAGATGAAGACAAAAAAAAACATTATATACTGTGATACATAATTTCTTTAAGTGGTCGTTGCCTAACAATGCATTAACTATCATAATATAATAATGCTTCAATTTTAGTTAATTCTAGCCTATAAAATTGTGTCATGGATCCACGATGAATCTTTATTAGGAATTATTGCCCTTTTTACATAAAATCAATTTAATAATTTATGATTGAATTTTGACTAAAGTGGTTTACATAATAATGGATTTATAAAAAAAATAAGTTTATACTCCCATTGCAATGCACGGGCACATTTGCTAGTAAATTTGAGTTCTTACTTGACCAATCAAGCCGAGTAAATTTATGCACCCATCCAACCAAGCCGAGTGACATTTTTTGTCATCAATAGGTACAAACCCTCTTTTCATTTTGCTTAGGTTGATTAGGTTAAATCAAGTAACACTAGATGAATTATGACTGCTATCTTTGTGTCGTTTTTTAGCAATTTCATGAAATCTGGGATTGGATAGAGATGTGGGATTGGGTCGGCCGCAATTCCGCAAGGCCGTGAGGATTGCGGTGAGCTATTAGGGCGACGTTGGGTCTAGCACCTCTGGCCACGCGTGTGGTCGGCCCGCTGTGGCCCCGCGAACACCGGCACAATGGAGAAGAAGACCACCCTGGCCCCCATCACCGTCGCTGTTGACAATGCAGGAGCCGCACCGTCCACGATCGCATTCAAAACCGGTGGTAGAACCACTCTTGCGGCAGCCGGATCCAGAGTTCCTGACTATGGATGTGCTCAGGGTGGCGCATAGGCGTCGCGAGACAGATTCTCCGGTTGTGGGCAGTGGATCATCGTGGAGCGAGGGTTGCAGGTCACCCGATGTGTTGGTGGCGGACTATTTCTGTGTATGGACGTGGATGGGGTGCTGTGGAGGTCCTGGCGAAAGCTTTAACCGTGATCTTACCGATCAGCACTGTTATGTACTCTGTTCCCGGTCAACACTGTTAGACCTTAAGCCAGTAATTACTGATTATGGTTAATTTAAAAAATGCTGCAGTCATGTGAGCAATTCTACTGCCACCCTTACTGGATTGGGGGCTTGCTTTGAGGCCTAACGTTCCTTTATATGTTAGAATGACTAGAATTATGCCCATGCATTGCAACGGGTACGTCAGCTTAACGTTCCTTTATATGTTAGAATGACTAGAATTATGCCCGTGCATTGCAACGGGTATGTCAGCTCCCTAAATGTTCGACGTTGTTAGACGTCATCATCTCCGGCAATAGTTAGGGAAGCCACCAGAGGAAGCGTGGACCCAGCTAGTTGAAGACGACCGTGAAGGAGATTAACCATGTGAGGACGAACAGAGGCGATCCTAAGGGAGACGATAACCTTGAGTAGCATATACCGTGTGACCAGGCTTAGAAAATTAAATGGCACAAACAAAATAGGAAACAAAAGCATCATGCTTCCTTAACAGCCGCACATGCATATCGCGTGATTAGTGGGTGAGGTGCAATCAGCGGGGTCAATTGGATGATTCATCTTTTGCTTCTTCCATTTACTAGGTAGTAATAGGTAAAGTACTGGTGTTATTTATGTGTTCTGGTTTGATGCTTCGGTTCTTTATGGTCATGTTACAGTAGGGCCTCCTGTGCTTAGAGGATCGGGGGTTGGTTGATGTGAACTCATTTTTGGAATTATTGGTAGAATAGCCATGTGTTCTGGCTATTGGAAGAATATGCTTCTGCCCTGATCATATCCGACCTAGTGTGCTTCCAAAAGAGCCATGTGTCCATGTGCTTCTGTAGCTACATTGTTAATGTGTATGGTTGATATGATGTTTAGATGCCTAATAATGTAGCATATCTTTATTGACGTGGACTGCATAGTTGTAGAGTTCATCAGTTAGGGTGCTGAGCGGTTTCAGTATTTTGTGAGTTTGATAATCAAACTTATCAATGTGTCAACCACTACTTCTAAGTTGATTAGTACCATTACCATTTGCTTATGCTGAGTGTTTTGACTTTTGACAAGGAGCCTCATTATTTTTTACTTTGCTGCAAATCGAGTATGAGCCAACTGGATTAGGTGGTTCAGCCGTCATTATGTGGTAACTGGGATGTACTCTACGTGACGTTTAGAGTTTATTGGTCGCGCAAAGGACAATGATACCTTAAGTTTCAATACACACGAGACAGTTAGGCTCCGTTCGCTTTGCTGAAAAAACAAGCCGAAATACTGTTCCGGCTGATTTGTTGTGAGAGAAAAACACTGTTTCAGCTAAAAAAACAAGCTGAAAAGTACAGATTATAAGACAGACGAACAGGGCATTAGACTTAATCATGAATGTAAACAAATGTAAGGACAGCTCCACCAATTGGTCGACAGAGACAGAGTGGCCAACACTGACACATCATGCTACTCCTATAAGGCTATAAGAGAAAGAAGCTTTCCTCCTTTCTCTGCCAGTTGCGCCTGTGTGGCCACCTCGATCTCTCACTAATTTGTTGCGCCCGGTGATCATGTGGAGGCTCAAGGTCGCCGAGGGGGCTGGACCATGGCTGAAGTCGTCCAACAACTTCCGCGGGCGGGCGGTGTGGGAGTTCAACCCCGAGCTCAGCACGCCAGATGGGTGCGCTGAGGTGGAGAGGGTGTGCCGTGAGTTCACGGAGCGCCGCTTCGAGAAAAGGGAGTCCTCTGACCTCCTCTTGCAGATGCAGGTACGTAATAGTAGCTTACTGTAGGTCTTAATAGGTTCTTAGGGCATGTTTGGTTGCCGCCACTCCACGCCACGTCTAGGCTCCACCTGCGTAAAAAATGTGGCGATGAATTCCTTCGCCCGACTTTCGGTGGCTCGTGGTGTCAAAGTACACAGGAATGCGGTGCGGCACGCCGCAACTACCACAAGCAACCAAACGAATGCAAAAAATGCGGTGCATGCGGTGCGG